GCAGACACCTCCACACAAGATCTCTGTAGTGGTTCGAAATCAGCTCCAGCGTTTCTTGTTCTCATGAAATCAGTAAAGCATGGGAACAGAGTCAATTTATTACATGCTTCATGTAACATATATGCATATATGAAACCACAGGAAATTTAGTCTTTTCTCTGCAACTCTGCAACTGTAGAGTTTCTGACCTGTCTGCTCCCTGAGTCTTGCCTTACCCCATCCCTAATGCCTCCGGTGGAAACTCTTACCACACCTCGACTCCTGGTTGCTCTCTCCCCCCACAATATTCTTCTCTATGTTTCAGGGCCGCAAAGACAGTTGCAGGTCAGCTTCACACTGGTTTTCAGTGGATTGGAAACAGTGATGTAGCAGTGATCACAAACATTCTTTCCATGCTGTATACAAGGTTCCAGTTTCAATCCACAGCATCTGTGGATGTGTCTTTTTAAACTCATTCTCCTGAAAACTGCTATTTGCACTCCACAACATGCGTCTCCCTGCATTTCTGTGTTATGAGCTCCCTTCCTTTTTCTCAGCTTATGACTCTTTCCTATTAGTTTTTGTGTTTTGCTTCCCGGACCTGCCAGTATCCCTTAAAGAAGTGGTGATAGCCATGCAGTCCCAAGAAAATATGTATTTGAATTAAAGAAGTGTCAATGGGGTGCAAACATGTTCCTCCCCACACCCGTCATCACCTCCTTTAAAGCATATTTTCCTGGGTCTGCATCTACAGCAGTGTTTCTCAACCTCGGGAACTTTAAGATGTTTGGACTTCAACTCCCAGAACTGAATGGCTGGCTGGGGAATTCTGGGAGTTGAAGTCCACACATCTTAAAGTTCCCAAGGTTGTGGAACACTGGTCTAGAGTGCGACCCCCAGGAAAAGGTGCAGGTAAGGAGGCCCAGACAGATGCAACAAACATGTGCATACCCTCACTGAAACATCTTTGCTGCTTTGGAGCCAAATAGCTGTACATCCCCTGGTTTACCATGAAAAGCAGAAAACTCAGAAAAAAGTTTCCTGACGAATATAATGTTACCACCAACATTTCTATCAGTCTCTCCTTTATACATCATATATTAGGCACATACAAACACACCAAATGATCCTTATGCAATGTTAGAATAATTCAGTAATTCTTTTTAACACTGTCAGTAACACCAGGGAGAAAACAAGTACTGAGAACAACTTTCTACTAATTTGAAGCTATCCTGGAGCTCCCTCTTTTGATTAACTGCTCTCACTGCTGTATTTTTAGCTTTATGTTCCATTAGTTCATTTTTTTCTGTTTATGTCAAGTAATGTTAACACAATACTATAGTAAAATTCATAACTCAGTACAATCCCTATTAATTTAAATAATTAAAGTAAGAAGACTACATATGGAATGCAAGACATCCTATTTAGAAATAAAGTATCAAAGGTCTTTAGTAGGTTAACAAAAATTGAGTGAAGGTTGCAAATTCTACAATGTATTGAAAGAATCAAATTGACAGGAGTTAATAATTTAGATCAAGTGTCTTCTCTGCTCATCTAAACCCCAAACTGTTGCACTATTTGTCACTGAAATGCTACAAATCCAAATAAAACCATGGACTAGGGAATTATGGGAAAAATCTGCCTATAGCAGAAAAGAAAAAACATTCAATTTTAAATTCCTTTCTTAAAATGATGTGCTTGAAAATAAGTACTGGATAAGGCATTTATGCTTTGTTCTCAATCTGGAGGGAGCAATCAGCATAGTTTAAACAAGCATTTTATTGTCATGTCCACTTGTAGTATAAGCACCTGTAAATGGTCTAAGTAGTAACCACCCCTAATCTCTGTGCTAAAACATCACCTATCACTCACACTAGCCTTTTCCTTATTTAAAGCTTAAATTTAGTATTAAGCTTAATGGCAGATTCAGATCGTTGAACTCCTTTTTGTTTTTAACAGCTTTCTATTAGGCTTCACAACTCATTATGGGTTCTGCACCTTCATCTTGTAACACTCATACCCTAGTTACAATCAGGAAAACATCTTAACAAGGAAATACACTAGCTGCTAGGTGGGCCAAGAATCAGGTCAGGAATTTATGAACCTCACAGTACAATCCAAAATGCATGTTTGATATTCAAGGAGATCCAGTTATAAAACTCTAAACTTTAGAGTCTAAAGCATAAACTCTGCAGATAGAAGGGCATGGACTATAAAATACTACAGAACATCACAGAACTGAGAAACTGCAAGAGGAAACAGAAAGATAAAAGAACAAGCCATCAAAAGAGACAAATCAGCTGTTCAACTAGCACTAATGAAAGTGAAAGCACCAAAAGTATGCCAGTACAACCTAGATGATGTTGTAAATTCAGTTGCTTTACCAGTTTCAGTTTCTGGTGAGCATGATGGGACACCCAGTCTTTCAGAGCTGGAGAGTGGGTCAGAAAATTATCTTTGGAGTCACTCAAAAGCTTAGGCTCTTTCCTTTACTTAAATCAGAGTAAAGACAGAGTCATGGTGATCACAAATGCTGGTTGTACAATACAGGTGAATTAACATTTCAAAGATTTAGTGCCAAGTAGAACAAACTGAATAGAAGATTAACAATCCAGCTGCCAGTCTGCGGCAACACCTTGTTTAGGGCAAGGCTGCTGGTGGACCAAGAATCAGGTCAGGAATTTATGAACCTCACAGTAGACAATTCAAAATGCATGTTTGATATTCAAGGATATATGACAGCACCGAGCATAGAGTTCCAACGTAGAGCTTATGATCACTCTAGTTTTGCAAGTTGGGATATCAACTGCAAGGGTAAATCAAGAAACACACTAGCTGCATCCACTTGACTCCCTTATGCATGGTTAACTTAGCCAAGATTTTCTCAGTTAACCTTGTTTTCTAGGTTCTGCTGACACAGTGATCTATAATCCAACCGTGCAGATTTGGTTGACACAACTTAGTAGGCTAAAATATGATGTGCTAATTTATGGTTGTGTGTCTCTTATAATCACAACTATTATTTTCTCTTTATTGTTGTTTAGAATTGAGACTTATTGAGAGCTATTGGGACCATTCTTATGCTGTCAATCATTAAGTCCTCCAGAAGAAACTCTCACAATAAGGCTTGACTTCCAAGTAAGCCCTTTTCAAGGGAAGACCTATTCTTCAAATGTGCATGTCTCTTTAATCTCGAGCCCACAGAAGCTTGTGTTTCTTGAGCTTTGGTCTTGTTTTTCAGACTTGGGTCTGATTATTTAGCTTCTTGTACTTCTAAACAAGGAGTGGCCCCCAGAACCCCATGATCTTGTTCCCAACATATCAAACATCTATGGCAAAATAGCCTAATTTCAGGAGTATGATTTTTTTTCTTTCTCTTGCCCTGCCCCCATCCCCCAAAGAAGTGGGAATGCAAGTGGAAGGAAAGCCTCTACTATTCTGATCCTAACACACACACACCCCAGCTTAAAAAACAGGCTGAAATCTTATCTCCAAAATTTGGCGGTAAGGGGAAGGAACCATCAGACATATTTATGGTAGAAACTGATGAAAGCACCAGAGGCTTCCTGCTTTCTTTCTCACCCTAAAAACTTTTCAAAGCACAGCAAACTGGAAAAAAATGTTTAGCCCTGCACCCTCTGGCGATGTTACCATGTCACCCAGATGTTTGCTGCGGAGAGGTTACTTTGCAGGTCATGTTTTCTAGTGGTAGAAATATTTTTCGGAATATGAATGATATCATAGAGTAAAACATTACTTTGAATTTTCATTTCATTTTCATTTGTACAATGGTATTAACAAAATTGCAATATTTTAAACAAAAAATCAGCAGATGCAACTACATAGTTTAAAAATCATTAATTTTTTTTAAAACTTTACTTTGATAGTAATAAAACTCCATAGAGAGATCAATCATTGGACAAGATAAACATGAGCCTGAAGGGTCTGGCTGCATTACAAAAAGCCATTTAGGTCAAAAGAAGAACAATTCTAAAATTTTCCCATGGAAAGAAATAATCAGAAAAATCTAAAATATGTGAAAATAAAAATAGCCAACAAAAAGTTAGAGCAGCAGCTAACTACATTGCCTAATTAGTGTTATAATTTGAAACAGCAAACATATAAAGCAGGCTGTCTGCCACTGATGCTACCCCAAAAGCCATGCAAATCTTTCCCTCTCTCCTTGCCAGCTAGGTAGGATATAGGACAGTGGCAGAACCCTTTCACTTCCATTATACTTCAAGTTTATACTAATGAGAGATGGCAGCAATGACAACTACAAGCTGATGCTTTTCAAACCAGGTTGCCAGAGGACATTTAATATCCCAGAAACATCTGTGTTTCAAATATAGCCCTATCAGTAACAGTTTGGGATGGCTGATATTTGAGAAATACAACCCGATAACCTGAAATGGTCCTTCTGGGGCCATCTGCTGTGCTAATGTTAAACTGAGAAAAAGAACGGTAATGTTTTACTGCAATAATAATATATTTCTTTTACCATGCATACTCACATATAAGCCCATCTGCGGATAAGCCAATTCTCAAATTTCTAATCAAAATACCATGAAAGATAAGCTGACCCACATTTTTCATAGTATTTTGGGTCTGCTTATCCACAGATGGGCTGATCCACAAATACATATGGGAAATGCAGGTACTTTAAAAAAGTATTGCCATATATACTTGTGGATAAGCCCAACCCAACATTCTGGGTGCATTTTGGCACTGAAAATTCTATCCACAAGTATATACGGTAAATTATTTTGTTCAACAGCTAGCACCATATTTAGTAGCTGTTGCTACATAAAAAGTTCATTCACAGAGTTTTCTACTAGACCAACTAGATTTCTGGGAATCTCCTCCTAAAACAAGGAAGTTCTTCTCACCTAGCAGAAATAACCAAATTTATATGAATTGCCACCTTTCTAACAATATCTTTTTAATACAGTTTTCTCCAGATTGAGTTCCTAAGCATCCTTGTCCTTTCACTGAATAATAATAATTTAAAAAGCACTTACTTTTCATGGTCCCCTCATCTTCCTCATCTTCCGCATTTATGACCATTGTTCCCAGTTGTGATTCTAAAGTGGCATTGTATTCTATCATGGTATTGATACCATCACTCATTCCACAAGCAGCTCTGACTGTACCACCCTCTTGTCCCCTTGCTCGAACCATGGTCCTAGAATCAGTTTCATCTTCTTCCTACATTGAGAGATAAGAAATACTTCTAACTTAAGTAAGACATTACTAGATGTCTAGAATAATTCAAGGCATCAGTAGGTCTCCAATTACCATTCAAACAATAGTGAAACAGGAGTATATGGTTTGTATCCAGATATACTTCTAACTCATCAAATAGCAACATATTTTGTTTCCTTTTTTGGCCACCAATGGACAGCAAAATATTCCTTCATGAGATTTATTATGTTATTGGAAGGAAAGACAAGAGGATGACCACCAGTAAGGTGGATGAAATTACAGTGGCAATGGATACACCATTGGAAGACCTGAAGGACCATGCTAGGGATAAATCATCCTGGAGAAAATCGATCTATGTGGTCGCTAAGAGTGACACCAACTTGATGGCACATAATCAATCAATTAATTCTGTTATTAAATACCAAGAATGCAAGGCATGGGAGCTAGGGATATTAAGAAGTTTGAAATATATCAAATGAACTGCAGAGAAACATCTGTAACAGAGCAACCACATATCTACTGAACTGGCTTCAATATACCCAAATGACCCATAGACAATATGCTAGGATAGCCTAAACAAAAAAGAGCCGCAAGCTTATAATGAGAGGGTAGCAAATGCTGCTTTTTGCTGTTTCTGACCTCTTCATTAGAGGAATTAACAAAAATCAGTAAGAAGACAGCCATGCTTAGAAAATAAAACAGAAGAAAAAAGCAAACTGAGAAGATGATATAACTCCTGGAGTAGATGATATATAACTGATAGACTGCTCTATCAGTCTATCTAGTTATAAGCTGCTCTATCCAGCTCTATCTAGTTCAAAGGAGGGTTCAAAAGCCTTGCCTTCCTGAGAATGGCAATAATGCAACCAGTATAGTTTGTTTGTTTATTAGATTATACCCCATCATTCCTTTAGGAGCTCAAGGCACCATAGATAGCGCTCCTTCCTTATATACCTTGTGGGGTTGAGCCTTGGCTTTCTAGACCTTTGCTGGAACCTGGCAATATCTCATCACTCCCAATACACACAAAAGCCATAGAGGGTTCGAGTGATCATCTACCATCCACAAAGCAGATGGTCCTGCTATTTCTCCTCCTCATAGAACAGGGAGGAAAGAGGTGAGGGCCCAGGCTGATGGTAAAGACTGCAGCGAGTTCATCTTGCAGTCTGTTGATGCTTCACCTCCAAAGAGATGGGTTTTTAAAGGAAACTGAAAACATTTAAGAAATTAATTACTGTGTTGTTTTTAATTTATAGTTTATGTTATATGCTGCTCAGAACTGGTTGGAACGGAGTGGCATAGAAATACTAGTAATAAATAAATGAATATTAAACAACAGAGTCAGCTAAACAGTATGGAAAAAAGAATTTATAATGATGCTACAGAAAGCTTAATGGCCTTAGTACTCACTGAATTTTCTTCATCATCGTGAAACAAGTCACGCTGTTGAGCTTCCTGAATTTTTAGTTTGATATCCATTGCCTCATTAATCAGATCGCGCAGGATGAAAACTCCTTTGGCATTTTTTACAAATGGGTGCTAGAAAACAGATATTAAAATTATTTTTTAAAAAAAGTTAAATGCAGTAAGAAAAAAAAAATCAGAACCCAATAATACGTTAATACGACTCCAAAGATAATGCTGGAAGCAAATCAATCTAACTTTAATGCAAGACCAAGTCAATCTTGTTCAACTTATGTAATTTATACGGGAAATGAAACTCTGATGTGCTGTTCTAAAATACTTTGATAGCCTAGAACAGGGAAGACCAATCTGCAGGATTCATCCAGTCCCTTTTAGCATCCTTGGAAGCTCCCAAATACAAGCAAAATTCAGTGGCATGATTTTTCAAATTTTGGTAAAATGAAATTAAAAGCCAAAAAAGCAAAGCTTCTCATTCTCTCTCTCTCTCTCTCTCTCTCTCTCACACACACACACACACACATACACACACACACATCAAAAGCACAGAAGCAAGTTCTACTTTGTTAAGCTTCCCAAATATGTGGATTGAGGGAAGAGCTCCATATTCCTTCCATTCCAGCAGAGCAGATACTGACCTGAAGCAACTGCGTAGCAGTGGCTCTTTGTTCTGGACACTTCACAAGACACTGTTTTACAAAATCTGTAAATTCGTCCGACCACAGTTCTGGCTTTCGAAATGTTGGCGGTGGATTTGTTGGAATCATGAAAATTGCCTGCGAATAACAACATTGGTTTCTGCCCTTTGCTCATGTTATAAAAATACATAAGCAAAAAATAGATACACAAGAAAAATACTTACAAGAGCCTAAAGCGCCAAAGCTTCCCTACCATTTTTCTGTAGGACAAGAGTGGGGCAACTAGTTGCCCCAAACCCCACACGGCTCTTTTTCCGAGTCACTCAGAGCCCCTCTGATCACAACTACTGAAAACTGATGACACGATTTTCTGCCATATTGAGGTTGGAAATAGATGAAAACTATAGTATTAATCCTGAAGTAGGTATTCCAAAAACAAAAAAAGTACTAAACTTCCTCAAGAAACCAAACCCTGCCTATGTGTGATATGGGTCCACACATATTGTTATCCTTAGCCTCCCAGAAAGTGTTAAAGGATAGCAATTGGAGAGCACAAGGCTGAAGCCGGCCATAACAGTAGCCTTCCCCAATATACCAGATGCAATGGCATCCCAACATCTTTGAATGGCCCAGACTGGAAAAGCGGTCCTAGTGGTCTTCATCCTCTGTTCGGTATAATTAGCAATGGCACTGCAATGTTTTCAAGATGGGCTACTTTACATATTTGCATCCAAAATAACTTATCTTTGAAATTTACTGAATCCAACTTCCTGCTTAAACTGGGCTGAAAATGGTAAACATTCTATTTCCTAAGAACAGCTAACAGAAAAACATAGATGCACCACTTATACAGGTAGTCCTCGCTTAATGATGGTAATTGGGACAGGTAACTCCATAGCTAAGTGACACGGTTGTAAAGTGCAATGTCATGTGACCGTGCCGACTTATGATAGCAGTTGCGGCAATCCCAGTTGCCACTGTTAGGTGAATCCCATGTGGTTGCAGTGTCCCGCAGTCACGTGATCACCATTTGTGACCTCCTGCAAGCTTCCCCATTGACTCTCCTTGTCAGAAGCTGGCAGCGAAGGTCGCAAATGGCGATCACATGACCAGGGGACGCTACAATGCCATAACTGTAAGCCAGTTGACAAGCACCTGAATTGTGATCATGTGACCACGGGGATGCTGCAACAGCCACAACTACGAGGACCTGTTATAAGTCCCCCTCATTCAGTGCCGTCCTAACTTTAAATGGTCACTGAACAAGTGGTTGTTCAACAAGGACTACCTGTAATGTTGATCCCAGAGGAACAGAACCAGAGGTTCCGGGCAAGCCCTAAAAGCTTTTGAGTATGGCCCCTATAGCCACACTAAAAGTGGACAGTAAACTGTAATTTTTAATGTGATGAGAGAAATTATTAAGCATCTGGGGAACAGACCATATTTTATTAATCAAATTTTTTCATGCGTGAAAAAAGTTAGGCAAATCTGATTTATCATACACAATCAGTTTCCTCACTATGCACATGGAATTTTATGAAATCGGTGTTTATAGACTATATCTAGCAAATAGGATTAATCAAACAAAAGGCAATAAGAACTAGGGCTCAATTTCACTACTGCATTAAAGCTACACTTATCCTTTTATCTTGGACTAGTTACCCAGCATTTACCCTCATTGGATGAATATCAGCATATGGAGGTTTTCCTTCAGCCATTTCAATGGCAGTGATACCCAGAGACCAGATGTCTGCCAGACAATTATATCCGATTTCTTGGATCACTTCAGGTGCCATCCAGAACGGAGTTCCTATCACAGTGTTTCTTTTTGCCATAGTATCCTATAAAGGGAAGCAAATTTTAAGGAAGTTAGCTATTTAAAAGGAATGTGCATTAATTAACAGAAAACCTGCTAAAAACATCTGCTGATCAAGTGTTCAGCAGGATTAAAAACATTTCAGAGATACTATAAACTATATTATAATTATATAATTATAGATACTATAAGCTACATTAAACATCCCTGAGCCAGTATGGTGTAGTGGTGACCCAGTTTGGTATAGTGGTGAAGGTGCTGGCCTAGAAACCAGGAGACTGTGAGTTCTAGGCTTCCCTTAGGAATGAAAGCTAGCTGGGTGACTTTGGGCCTGTCACTCTCTCTCAGCCCAACCAACCTCACAGGGTTGGTTTTGTAGAGAAAATAGGAGGCAGGAATATTAGGTATGTTCACTGCCCTGAGTTACGTACATACGTACGTACATACATACATACATACATACATACAAATAAAAGTGGGGTAAAAATATAATAGTAATATCCCAACTCCTAGAATTTTCAAAATATTTAATAGTAGAGATGGTCAAAACACTCTGTACAGAATAGCCTGGTTCAGGTTGACCATGCCTGCACTGGAACATATAGCTTTGTTCCAGGAAGGAGAGGCAAGGGTTTTCATCTAAAACCCAAACAACCAAAGCATTCTGGATTTTAATTTGTCTAAACTATGCCTGTCCTGAGAAAGTTAGCAAAACCTCCAGAATATGATGGTTTGTTCTGGGATGAAAACAATTTTTCCCACTTTGTGCACATCCAAGTCAACAGAAATGGATTCAAATGAAAATAGACATTTCTAAAAATCTAGAGCTTACAATCTTACAAAATCAGTTTATTTAAACCAGGTAGTAGTTCTCAGGTGACCATCTCATTATTACATAGTAAAGTTTGCATCCAGAAAATGAGTATACTCTTGCTTGGTTTATATATCACATTAAACTATGTTTATTTGGATACTGGCATTCTGTGACATATGCATCCAGTCATTATGGTTTATAAGCCATCATTAATAGTTTACTATGCTCCCAACTGTTGCTTGTTAAACAAACCAAGTCTTTGCACAAAGTATGAAGATTTGCATAAGCAATTTCTACACTTACGGTAAGCTGGCCGGCTACCCCAAAATCTGCAAGCTTAGCATGGCCTTCTGTATTGAGTAATATGTTGCCAGCTTTGATGTCACGGTGTATTTTCCTCATGAAATGTAGGTATTCCAGTCCTTTCAGTGTTGATTGTATTACTGTAGCAATTTCATCTTCCATCAGCTGTAGAAGAAAATTTACTAAATGAGCAGATAGTTATTACTAACTATTAAGATTCTATTACAGTTACTTAAAATACATATCTTCTGTTAGGATAAGGGATGGAGAATGCTACAGGAGGATATTACAACTTGCTCATCTCCAGTATTATTTATACAGAATAATTTTCAGCGGAACATAGAAGGAATGTTCAATTTATGAACTTTCACATCTTTTATCACTCAATAAATCAGGCTAAAATCGATAAAGTTCATCACTACCATTAAAACTTTTATCCAAAAAACCCTCAAGCATTTATTCAGATCCTGAAGCAGCACATACCGTTTTATTTCGTAGTCGAATTATATCAGACACAGATCCGGCACCGCAATATTCCATTACTATCCAGAGGTCCGTGTTCTTAAAATAGCTGCCATAATATTTGACTACATGAGGACTAAGGAAGACAGAATGTATTACTGAATTGACTCAAGTGCACATTTTGCAAAAAAGCCAGCTAAGAATCAGCCTAAAACGTTAGGATTTGGGGAGTATTAGGATCCTAAGTAAAAACATAAACTCATAAAAAGGAAATCCCTTTCCCTGGCCTTTCAATTGTGCATTTCCACTCCTATTTCAAAGGAGTGTATTTTTGCATGAGACAACTCATGCAAGTGGAAGAGTTTAATTTAGCTGGCTTGCTCTGAGGATTGAAGCTGGCAAGGCAAAAATCAAAGAGCTGCAGACCTGCAAGACCATTATGTAAACATGGGGGCAGGGGCCTTCCACATTCCATTCTGGGAAAAGAGCATCAAAATTACTGATACCATGAAAGGGCAGGAGAAGGAGACCTAGGATTTAAATCTTGGGTGTCCATCTGACTGTCTCTTTCTCTCACACACATATACAGGTAGTCCCCCAGTTTAAGAACGACTTCCATTCCCAGGATCTGTCCTTAAGTCGAATTTGTATGTAAGCCAGAACAGTATTATTGTATTAATACTGTATAAGTAGTATTGTGTAATTAACTGGAACTACTGTGTATATAACTCGAATCATTGGGTATTTAACTCTAATTTTGCTACAATAGGCTCCATTCTTAACTACGGGTTGTCCATAAACCAGGCATTCTTAACCCAGAGACTACCTGTACCCCAGGCACAGCTAGATTCCTGTATTCTGCAGCAACTGTGTAGCTATGACTTCTTAATTTGCAATAAAAGTTTATTTAATGGTGTTAAGTCTCTGAAACCTCTGTTGTTATCTAGCTATTGACTATGGGAGTGTTAGTTGAGTATCTGAAGAGTATCATATCAAATCAAGCTGTGCTTTTGCGAAGTCCAGCACCTGCAATGGCTACCCAATATTTAATAGGGAATATACTATTTGAAAGAAATAAAATAATTCAATAGGAATCAGAGTAGTGCGAAACATTATCTAAGTTGAGAATTTCAATACTTATTCCTCTAGGAATATTTTAGTTTCTTATAATAATATATTTAACAGAAAATATTGTGCAAGATATATTTCCACTGTTTCCAGAATTCTCTCTCTCTATTATTTAACATTTAAAACATTTCTTTAAATAGTGATACATGGTGAAAACATTCACCTAACAAGGAGGTTCCCCTGCTGTATTGTTCTGTAGAAATTCTTCCATTGTTTCAAAACATTACTGACAATGAATGAATGGTTCATGAATGGTTTACACATTCTTACTGTGAGAAAGGTAAGTCCATCCATTACACACACACACACACAATTCTTGCTTCCTTTGTACAGTCCTGAAAATCTGCTCTAAGGCATTTGGGGATGGGGGAATTCTTGTAAGAAGGTTAGACCAAGGCAAAAAATGTATTTCCTCCAATAATTTTATTAAAGATTATATAAAACAGATAAAAATAATACAAAAACCTAATACAAAAATACATTAAAAGAAAAAAAAAGTGTAAAAAAATCCCCCCCAAAAGATAAGAAGAAACTTCCCCCTTCATCCCAGCAAATATATTCAACATTAACAACTTATCACTGTCTCTTAAAATACCACCAAATACATCTTCATTCCATATTTCACCCCATTTTCTATAGACCCATCTCTAAATCCTCAGCAATCCTTATTAATCAACAAAAGGTATAAGAATTAATAAGAATAACTAACATCATAAGCATTTAGTCCCCCTTTCCATTTAAACTTAATTGCCATAATCCCTC